CACGCTCCCTGCTGAGCTACCACGCTCCCTATAGGTGGAGTGCGGCTGAGCTATCACGCTCCCTATAAGTGGAGTGCGGCTGGGCTATCACACTCCCTAAAGGTGGAGTGCAGCTGAGCTATCACGCTCCCTAAAGGTGGAGTGCAGCTGAGCTATCACGCTCCCTATAGGTGGAGTGCGGCTGGGCTATCACGCTCCCTATAGGTGGAGTGCGGCTGGGCTACCGCGCTCCCTAACGGCGGAGTACCATTGGGTTACCATGCTCCCTAATGGCATCCCTGAAGGTCAGGCAGCAGGCGGCAGGTGATGGGGTCTGCAGAGCTCGGGCCGCATCTGGCAGAAGTGAACAGGAGCCGCTGATGTACACAGGTACGGTTCTCTGTAGCTCACCGTCTTGCAGGCTGGAGTCTGTGACAAAAAGCCAGAACTCGCAGGGGCCCTCAGCAGCACTCTGAAAAATCCCACAATGCACTGCAGTCAGTGTGAGACACCCATCCATTCCAGGTCAGTCGCTCATACAGAGCAAAGACCCTGCAGGATTCACATCTGCACTTTAGCTTGGACATCATCCATCCACTCTACTAAGTCATCTATTGCTCCAGCAGTAGGCGGGTCCTACAGTGAACACTATCTGCTCCTCTAAAAGCAATTATCATACCATGATAAACAACATCATGATAAGATCGAGTCATGTCGCACATATACAACGGACAACTGACATCTGCGTGTTAAAAAAATCCAGCTTATTTTCCCATGGTTCAGAGACGTCCAATAAGAATTTGGCGCACAACCAGGATTTCCAGACACTGATCCGTTTATTACTTTTTTCTATGTATTGTGTATTCATCCATGAGCAATAATGCAGGAATGAATGGTACAGTGTGCTAAGTATGGATATATGCCATGCAGCACTGTCCGTCATCGTCAGAGAAGGCAAAGGTCAGGCCGATCAATGTCTGTCTCCTTGGCGGAGGGGGGGGGGCAGGGGGCCTGGAGGTCCTCCCCCTGGCACCAAGCCCCTCCCTCCCCTCCAAGACTGACCTTAGGCCTTGATTAACTTCTGACTTTCAGGAAATTCAGCTGAAATGCAGATTCCATTGCAAACATACAAGTCTGGTGATAAAAACCCTCCCCCTTATATCTTAGAGGTCATGGCTCTGATTTGCAGCCCAGCCCTGTGTGCAGAGCTTACAGTAGGGGCCTGGTCCGTGGGCCTACTCCAGGTCATATCCAATGACCCTGAGTGACCCTAAGGTGCCATTAGACAAGGCATGTCAAACTCCGGTCCTGGAGGGTCGGAGCCCTGCACATTTTTGGGTCTCCCCTCATTTAACACACCTGATTCAACTCCTTGCACCTACTTGTGCTAATTACCACACAGCTCATGAGCTGAATCACTTGTGGTGGAACAGGGAAAGAACTAAGGTACACAGGGCTCCGGCCCCCCAGGACTGGAGTTTGACACCCCTGCATTAGACCATGAGTGAAATGTGTGCGTGTGTGCCGGGACAGAATGCACCCTCCTGTGCTCTCGATACTTTTGGCACTGGTCCCAAATCACTGACCCTAAATGGACAAAGAGTCAGGCCAAAAGGGGACAAAAGTGACCCTCAGTCTGTCCAACCAACAGTCCAGTCAGCCCAGCTGAATTCAAACAGCATGAACTACAGAACTGGAGAATCTGTGAGAGGACAAGAAAAGTACACTTTACAAAATTGAGTAGGGACTTGCTGCGAATTTCGTGTGACTTTTCATGCTGGGCCTTAGTAGTGAACGCATCAGCTGTTAGCTACTACGATAGCAATTTCCACGCAGTGGTATCTGTTGTTTGTGTGGCGCACTTGAAGATTAGTGTCTGCAAGCTGTTCACAATCATTTCAGTGATGTTCAGGTGCCAGCCTCAGAGGCTTGGCTCATGTGTGAACCCAATGTTGTTTTGCATGCATCTCCCTTTTGAAAATAACCCAGAACATAAAAAAGCAAGTTAGTTTTACTGCTTAGCAAAGTTTGTGACCTGCGGTTTGATATGGTCTGGGTGGGGTGAGAGGAGGGACACACCCAGCTCCACTGATAAGACACACACACACACACACACACACACACACACACACACACACAGCAAACTCACCTTCTGCCTATGATATACTACGGTGGCAGTGAAGGTGCAGCGCTGGCCTGAAACACCCTGAAATGAGAGATTCATGAGGATTTGGCCCCCAGGCCAGTACCATAAAGTGAGCAGATTACAGGGCTGTAAGACACTGTGACTGAGGGGACAGGGGTGCGTGTACATGTGTGTGTGTGTGTGTGTGTGTGTGTGTGCGCATCACCTGCAGGACGGTGCTCAGGCTGCGTGGCACGGCTGGCAAGTACAGCTGATGGCTGGCCCCCCCCCGCAGTACCTGCACGGTCCCCTGGCCACAGCCGCCTTTTAGCAGGTAGCAGAAGTTGGGGGGCTGCAGCCTGGCCGGTTCCTGCAACGCAGACACCAACAGAACTGTACCAACAGACAGCTCAGTGCAGCTTTCAGGGAGAGGAGTCCCACACCAAGCAGAACCCACCAAATCCGCAGGGTATGTTCTCCGATCCGCCATATTTCCCCTTTTTTGATCACTCTGAAACTCGCGAAAAGCCATTGACTATTTCACCTACTGATAGAGAGGCAGGAAGTGCGATATAGTCGCTACAGCAGCTTCCTTCACTGTTAAGTGTGCGCCTGACTGGGACTGGACTGTACGCTCGGATCAGCACGTAGCTCACTGGCTGTCGACAATAATATGGCTACCTGTGAGCAGGTGCCTGAGAAATGCCCTTGTAAACTAGATCGATTCCCATTCAGAGCAAGATCAATGAAGGAGACACCCACCTGCAAGCAGGCTTGGCTGGCTCCGGGCCCTCGGGGGGCTACGGCCGGGGGCCACAGGCTGTCGATCAAGCTGAACAGCCAGGCGGACCTGGGGCGGGGACACAGACAGCAGGCGTGCTGAGACCAGGAGATGCACAGCCAGCAAGCTGGGGCCTGCCCTGTTCACACGCACAGGCGGCCGTGACGAGGGGGCACAGGGGAGACAGCACGGGCGGCGTGACGAGGGGGCACAGGGGAGACAGCACAGGCGGCCGTGACGAGGGGGCACAGGGGAGACAGCGTTACACCTGAACCTTGAGCCTAGTGATACACCGGAATAAGGGCGTAACGATACACAAAGAACACGGCTCGGTACAAACCTCGCTTGTGGGTTCACAGTTCAGCAGGGAAAACGATTTGGCTTGAAATCATTCATATTATTAAAACTGCAATCACGAGCACAGTTAGGAAGGTTGGAAACCGAAGACTGTGTCTGTCAATGTGTCAGAATCTGCAAATAAGTGTCTCTTACGTTTTGTTATTCCAATAATAAATGCTAATTAAATAATATGACATCATAACAATCACAATGAATTAAATATCATGTTCTCAACTATTGAGCATAGTTGCATATCTGTAGTGATAATCACCCCTATAGCCGTAACGGTCAGAACATCCTGGCAAAAATGTGTGTTAAATGCCACTGGAGACAGACCTGCAGTGGCTGTATCTGCCTTGCTTTGGTTGTACACATCCTAGAATGTCGTCGTCTCAAATGAGTTGGTACGTTAGATACGTTTCCAGTGACATAGCCACGTTCGGTATAACACAGCTGACAGTCTAGGTCTTATAAACTACTCTCTCCAGTGCTAGTATACTTTATTGGTAAACCAAAATGTTTGCAAACTCCCAATTATAATTAGGACAATTAGCATTGTGTTTTCAGTGTTAAACATGTACTTGTGAATTTAGGTCGCATCCGTGTAAATAAATGGGATTCTTTCATTTCACTGCACGTACCTAACCGAAAAATGACGTACCTACAACTCCCCTCGTCTCTGCCAGTCAAGGTTACATGTGAAGAACTACATGTGCTTGGGCAGAAAATGCAAGAGAGGCTGCAGCCTGACCAGCAGGCGGGGGGCGGTTGCCTCGCGCGTGTCCGGGGGGATGGGGGGGGGGGGGGTGCCTTGATTGAGTAGGTGGAACAGGAAGAGCTGTGGCCAGGAGCCAGATTGCGAAGCTGATAGCCAAGCCAAGTGTTCAGTGAAAGTAGCAGGGGGGGCCACAGGAGAGGGGGGGAGCAGAGCTGTCACAGTACCCAGAGGGTAGGGGGTGTGAAGGCTGCACACAAAACAACCAGAGAGAATCAAGTGGTGGAGGGTCAACAGTATGCCCAATCAAAAAGCATTAGGGGCCCATTAGACAGTAGACAGTGAAGTAAAGACAGTGCAGATGCACTGGAGACTGCAGACAGTGGCGTAAGACACTGCACAGTGCAGAGGACTATAGATCACACTGGAAAGGAAGCATGCAAGTGATTCAGCAGAATGCAGCTGAAATAAAGTCCAAAAAGTGCAACACTCAGCTAACGCAAAGCTGATGTGGATCAACCAGTGTGGTGAGGCGGCTTGAGAACACGTGTCGGTCAATAGACGGGCAGGGGACGCCCAAAACAGAGCTGACCGGGACTCATGCGGGCTGCAAAGCACTGACTATTTATAAAAGGACATGGAAGAGGCAGTTCATGTTACCAGGCATGACATGACTGTGGTCACATGGCTGTGTTGACTGGGTTTGACTCTGGGCCTGTGTCTATTCTTTTGCTGCTAAACCGAGAAGACTGCTTTGGCAACGGGCGCAGTCTATTTCAGGGACAAATGAGCACAGAGACACACGAAGGTGATCTGAGGAAGCCTATTGGACAGACCGGTCCTCCGGAATTTCTGATTGGCCTGACTGACATTCTTTGGGGCCCGTGCGAGGCGAGGGGCTCCCTGTAGCATGCTGTGCTCCTCCCTGCAGCATGCTGTGCTCCTCCCTGCAGCATGCTGTGCTCCTCCCT